GTGCATTTGCCCTTAACTTTATGACTAGTTTTGAGTAATCGCTCATTGCACAATATGCTCAAGGCCCAAACATGAATCGGCTCGCAGAAGTGAGAGGAGTATTTTCTTCTGTCTATAAGCTCATTCAGTTGCTGCTAGAGTAAACATTTCCAATGACCACTGTCTGAAAATGTCCTTGTCGTCGCGTCCACAGAGTAAAGCCCTAGAAACTGTGGTGCCATTAGCAAGTTACAGGACGGTTACTACACATCCACACTTCACGTGCATCTGCCCTCTGTGCCCAGCGGAACCACCAGCAACCACCACTCTCTGACACAACAGCTACTTTCACAAACAACATTTTTATTCAGGAAACTATTGCAACAAATGATAATAAGGAACCTACTTTATGTCACTTCGGCAAGTTCTGTTTTTTTTTAAATTCCATTTTCTTAAAAATCATGAACTAAGAAACTGCAGGAACTAGACCCATTAATCCATAATGAATTAATCCTTTTACAGAGAAATGAGTAAAAGTATGTCACCTATCTGCCTTCTCTCAATCAGCCTTTTCCTACAAAGCCACTAAAGAATGGAATGGGCTCCCAGACAATCAAGAATTGAACAATGCAGATTTCCACAGTTTTTCAAGGGCAGTTAAAGACTGGCTTTTAGATCAACAGTCCTGCTCGCACTAAAAGTACCAGATGGGTACTTGGCCATCAGGTGTTACCCTCGCGGGTATTGTCTGATGGCCACCACACTATTAGTGTTAAAAACTATTGTATCTATGTGCTAATCATGTATAGCTACAAAATAATTTTGAAAACTGTTGCACTTTGTCATTCTGCACTTTATGAAGGCAACTGGCACTTTTTATTTGCACTTTTCATCTGCACTTTTACTATATATTGCACAAATGTTTATTGTCTATGTTTTGTATTTTAATTAACTCTGTTATGTATTTTAATTGTATTTTTGATTGTATAAGGACTACAGATGGAAATTAGCATTGTGCTAAATCTGGGGCAGCCATCTTTTTAATGTACCTGTCCGTTGTCCTTTTAAATAAATAACTAACTAACTAACAATGTACAAGTGATAAATATTGAGCCCAAATATATTGTTTTACCTTTTCTAATAATGCTTCTTTCCTTACTATGCAAAGAATAGAAATGTTCTGCTTCTTTTTTTAGCTTCTTTAGAGATTTTATTTTATTTTAGTATAGAGTTGCTTTATTTATCTTGTATTGTGTGCTCCTAACTGATGACATTTCCCTACTGTGGGAAGAATAAAATAATTATGATAGTAAATCAGTTATTGAACAAGTCAATAGAGTAATTATAGTGACCGGCCGAGCCAAGCCCATAACATTCAGTAAAAATTTGAACTCCAACCAAACTGGGGCGTGTTGGGAAAGACAGTCGCAGATGTTCAACGGTGGGATTGTAAAAAGGGGAGTATGGTGCAGCTTCACTCTCTCACACCTGCACCGTCTGTGGACGGAGGCAAGGCGGCACTTTGGAGGCAGCTGTGGAGACCAAGAGGTGGCAGTCGACATAAACAACGGTGATTATGGAGGTGTGGGAAACCGGAGGATGCAGATGTTATTGAAAAAACACAAACTGGCAACAAGTAAGCAGCTCGCCGTAACAGGAATAAATGTACAAAGGCATGTGGCGTAGTATCAAAGTAACAGAAGCAGGCAGCAGAGGTGGGATGGTATGGAAGGGTGAGTATTTCTCTATTAGTTGGACAAGCAGTTGGACGATAACGCAAGATACAGGCCCAAACACACTCCATACACCTCTGTCCCATTACTCACTTCAAGCTAAAGGCAGAACACTCAAAACAAGCAATCTAATTGGTTGAACTCATATTTGTTGGATTGTCCAATATGTTGGATAATTTGCATCGGTTGGCGGTGAATCTGCAGTAGGGCTGCACGATATATTGTTAAAATATTGTTATTGCGATATTGGTGTGCGCAATATCCATATCAAAGAGATGCGTGATATTTATTTATTCATTTTTCTTTCTTTATTAAAGACAACAAAACAGACAGACACATCAACATTCAAAAAGAACAACAAACAAACAAATAAGTATATAAATATATGCATGTGAATGTCAGTGATGTTGTGCTGATTATTTGTTTTTTGTGTCTTGCGTTTCAATCATAGACTGTATATATTAACGTACAGAGTCACGCCTATCTCCGCCGTTTTAACTAATGGGCCAAAAAATGTGCTCTACTGGAGCTATCCAAAATGGCCGCGAGTGGTCCCGCCCACAAGAAAATTGTGAAAAAACGCATCTGCGCATGCGTTAGCCGGCGCAGCTCCATTCATTTGAACGAGAGACTTCAAAAATTCACAGCAAGTAAACTAGAGTGGACCAAAAAAATCCACCCCCCTCAGCATTGACACACATGTGGAGCGGAGCTTTGGGCCAAGAGCCAACTTTTGGTCCATCCTGTAAAGACGTTTTTGAGAGGTTTGCCAACGCTATATGTTAGCATTGGCTAATTCTTCTTCTGGGTCCACCCCCAACGGCCCGGGGTGGTATTGCAGCATGTCAGCGCACGTTATTTTGGCCACTTTTGAGCCGGGACCCTCCCCCACTGGTTTCAATGCAGATTGCGATTTTAGGTGGAAGACAAAAATATCGCAATAATATCATTATCGAAATACTAAACACTCATATCGAATATCGCTCTAATTTACAATATCGTGCAGATCCTGATAGAGCTCTGAAGCAAAGCAGGGCAGGACCTGGTTAGTACTGTGATGGTAGACCTCTGAGTGTGGCCTGAAGTGTGGTGAGTCTGATGCATACGTATTTTTGGTCAGAATAATGTGGCTTGAAAGCAAATATAGATCGGTCGGACACATAACTACCAACTAGATAAACTGGTGGAATCGAACCATCCTGTAATCACAGTGTAGTCTTTCTTCAACTTACTTATTGAATCATAATTGAACATGTTTTTAATTTCTGCTAAACCGTTCCAAAGAGTGGCTGCACAAACTGAGACTGAGATGATCTTGACTAGAGGTGGGGGGAATTTCCAATTGTTAGATTAATCGCGATTCGGCTGCGGAAGTACCGAGAACGATCCACAAACATCCAAATTCAGATTATTTAAATTTGCCAAGTGAATGTGATGGAACTGAAATACAGTAAGTCTTTGAAATGCAATAGTGAACGGACCAAGAGCGCGCATGCACAGCACACACATCATCAAGCATGGGCTGTCCATACCTAGTAATCGAATCGTGAGGCGCCCCAAGATTCCCACCCCTAATCTTAATGGTTACATCAAAACGAAAGCTGTTTTTCGAGCAGCCTTTTGTTTTTGCAGCCTCCTGAAGGTGACGTGTGACACTGAGGGAAAATGGCAAAAACCTGGCGCCCGGTATAATCTGCCTGTGGTCATTTCAGATTACTCTGGCCACACTTGAAAAGGGCAATGCATGGCAGCCCCCACAACAACCAAGCAACACAGTCACACTTTTCACGCTGGTGAGTGAAAGGCTTTACAAGGTGAAGGCGGTAGATCAGGCCATAAAGTGCTACGTAAAGTCATGTATTCCGAACAAGAATGTTATCATGTTGTGGTGTTATCAAACTTATAATACAATGTAGATGGTTTCTCAGTCAAAACAGGCACTTCCATTCAAAGCTACTTTCAATATTTGATTAAAGGTAGTGATCAAGACTGTTTCTGTCTGACACTGTTACATTTTCTTTGATTATCTGAGCTTTTTCATGTTTTTATGCCCCATGCTGCTCAAGCGAATTGTCCCTGGTGGGATAAATAAACTATTTTTTGTTAATTTATTGTCGTTTGGTCATTCACAGTCATTCCAGTTTAAATCCAGTTTAAAACAAACACAATAACAAAAATTAGTCTGTGCATGACCAGGCACAGGCTGAAGCCAAAGCTCACTGTGGCTGCCCCTAATCGACCTTATTAAATCAAATTCAATAATAAGTAATTAATCACACTAAACAAGATACAACACACAACACGTTTCCGATTGTTACACTGTCACATATATTTCCTTGATTTTATTTTTTGAACTGAATAGAGAAGTAGTCTTAATCTGAATCTGAATAACATGGTTACTGAGTGAATAATGAGATCAAAAGCGGCCTCTCTCTATCATCTTGTGGACTAATGAATTTGGATCACCACAATGTAGAAGAGCATCAACAACATGAAATCAATCACTTTATCAAGAAAATCGCCACAGATAATGAGATAACAGCCTGTATTTGTCCCACAAAGTGAACATTCCAGCGGACATGGTTACAGCAGTCATATTACAGTAGTACAGACTCTAAGCAAAGACAGCAGCATAACTTTGATCTTAAAAGGAAAAATAATGAATTAATAAAGATGGACCTTCTTGTGAATATTGACCGTCTTGAAGCCTCCAGTGGCCACTTCTCAACCCTCATTTAAAAACAACAGTATAGAAACTACTAAAACAACAACCTCTCTGCACAATCCAATGCATTGTTTGACCAATCGATTAAAAATATCATCGCAAGGAAATCGAATCGTGAGTCCAGCCTGTAGCGTGCGTATAGACAAGAGAAGTCCCCCGTATGTAGTCTTTAGGTGTGAAGTTGTTGGGGGCCTGTTTTATGAATGCAGAGACTGAAGTGTGAAGTATTATCTCTGTAGACGTGCGGAGAACATCGCAATTAAATCTGGACGAAAACACAACGCTGCAAAAGACGAGCACGCATCTCCTGTTTATTCATTCATTCTTTGGCGTTGCACGTACGGAACAGCACGCAAAATCTGCACAAATATGATCAATCTGGAGCCAAGTCTGTAGTGTCCAACTCGGCATCGCATTTCTATCGTTAATAATAATAATAATAATAATGATGATAATGCATGCATGTATGTATATATCTCACGCCCGCGCTTTGAGTCCTGTGCAGACCGAGCACATGCGAGCTTGAATGAGGAATCCTGCGCATAGACGAACAAAGCCCTTACCTAAAAACTGTGCCGCTCTTGGCTGGATGCTGCCGGGGCCGGAGCCGCTGGAGATCGCGCGGTTCCTGGGTGCATAGCGCGGCAGGACTGGGAGAAGGCAGACCTGTTTGGATCGCACTTCATTGAGGAAAAAAAAAAGATCCACTACTACCAGCCGAGCAAGAGCAAGAGCGTTTGAGGGGCTGTGTTTTGTCTGTCACATTGTTGCTGGCCCCTTTTTCTAGCATCCACATCTGAGTAGAAGGGGGTGGAGTCACTGAGGGGTGGGCGAAAAAGGCGCACGGGGACCCGGGGATGGTTAGTTAGGTTAAAATAAAAAAACATTTGAAAAAAAACATGTATTTATTTTCATGTCAGTCATAGGGTAAAATATTTCATCCAGCACAGACTATATTTTTAACCTTCAGAATGTTGTACACTTCTTTTTGCCCAATCTGAGTGACTCTATATATGCCAAATTTGAGACTTACATTTCTCCAGTGTGAGATCAATAAAGTCTATCTTATCTATAACCATTGAGCTCCTGGACATGGGATGTAACCCAAAGACGTGTTTCCCTATTTTTCTTAATTTTTACTCTAAACTCACAAATAAAATGTAGCAACTAAGTAAACAGGAATTTAACGTGTGTTCAGCGTGGAGGTTTTTTTTAATATGGCAGGCCTGCAAATCTTTTCCCAAGTGACATTTGCTTCAGATTTGAATGGGGATTTATAGCTAAGGAGTAGGGAATTGTTGTCATTTTACAGTCAAAAGTCCTATTCGCAGATTGACAGGCTGACTTTGTTTAATGATTTGTTTATTTTTAATGGGGCGGTGGCATTTATAGACAGCTAGTCCATAAATACAGCAGATTGTTGCTTGGGTTGTTTTTAGTGGTTGGGGAAACCGGAGCAGCTGGAGGAAACCTGCAGCGAACATGCAAACTCCACACAGAAAGGCCCTCACTGCAGTTTGCTCTTTCTCAGTGCAGAGATTGTTCCTACTTATAAATGGAGTAAATCAGTCATAAGAGGTCATAGTCAAACAGGGCCTCAGCTTCACAAAAATAGTCCAACCATTTTGTTTGTGCTCCAAGGGCTACTCAAACAAATTCAATATCAAAATAAGTTGGTGTAAGGGGTTTGAAGGGCATCTCTCGCTCCCTTGCATCGTACACATAAGGTACAACACCTTTTTAACCCTGCCCTTTGCAACTAAATTTACATAAGCCTAATTGAATGTTGAAAAGATACTTACAGAGCAATTATCATGTTAACAGTTTTGTCTATTGTTGTGAAAATAACTCACGGCAGGGAATAACCCCCGATTTAAGGAGTGTGTAAGGACTCCTGCAAGTGTCAAAAGATAAGAACTTAATTTTAGTTTTTCTATTTGTTCATTTATTTCAGGCATTGGCACAGATAAGTACACGGTAGACAAATGCAGTGAAGTCATATTTGTGCAAAAGGATAAAGATAAAGATGAGGACAAAAAGTTAATGTACTGTATATTCTCCATGTACAAATGCAGAAAGTATTTATTTAGTCCCACCCTAATTCCCTAACCAGACTAGTCCTGGAGCCGACATCACAGACTGAAGAGGTGTCTTGACTTGCATTGGGCTGTTCTGAGCTTTTAGGATGATGTATACGAGAGCTGAAGTTGGCTGAATGACAAATATTTACCATTTCACCAGCACCATTAACGACACAATCAAAAACCAAATCAGTACAATATGTGCAAACACAGTCAACAACGTACTGGGTTTTAGAACAAGGTCTATATTGGCTGAGCTGAAGTTGGATGGATGACACAGTCAACTTGTGTTTATGAGTTTTATTGAGTTTAGGAGTTTTTGAGTTTACATTGATCTTTTATATAGTAAACTGAAAACATTTATGTAGATTTTTATTTATGCATGCCTTTTTGATTTTATTCTGCTTGAACTTGTTTGCACCGAGAGCCAAAGCAAATCCCTAGTTTGTGACTTCCTGTTACTCACATGGCAATAAAAGGATTACTACTTTGGGTTAGCATGGCAGAGGGCCACATAAAATGACACAGAGGGCCGCTATTGGCCCCCGGGCCTGAGTTTGGACATGCCTGCCCTAACCAGTTATTAATGTGTTAAGCTTCACTGCTATTTTGTACAATGTTGTATAATGGTGGCGTAACGAATAACTCTTACATGGTAACAACAAATGATATCAACAATCTCAGGAAATGAACAATTCCAACAATGGTACATGGACAATATACCAACTTCAAATCCCACCATCCCAACTATTTGTTGGCGATTAACTTTTTTTTCCTCATAAAGCATCTTTGAGTGTCCAAGAAGCGCCATATAAGTACCATGTATTTTGTTTATTGCTATGATTTTTAGGAAGCCATAATGTGCTTTTCACAACTTTAAGATCAGTTCAGAGTTGTTAATTACGTCCTGTTGTTTCGCTTTGTGTTTTTATGACTGTGCACTTTCACGGCTGTGCTTGGAGAAGAGATGTAAAAGGTAGATATTTATGTTCAGTAAAATATCATGTTGTGTGTGTCCGATGAGTTTACTTTGTGAATGGGAATGTAGCTCTGATGTTGATTGTGTGTACCTGAAACAATACACGTCCAAAGTCATTCTTTGTTCATAAATAGATGTTCATTTGATGCATAATGTATGGTGTGCAGTATGGGGCCACAGGTTGTGTTGTGCTGCACTCTTAATTGCCTCATCAGTAAATGTCAAGCGTTCAAATGGCCCCAGCGTCTCAATGTATTTATTCATTTGTGCACCATCAGACTCCGGCACCGTGGCTGCATGCTGCAATTACTGCTGCACGGCCAAATGTGCCGATGAATAATAAATCACAACACAAAGAGATCTAACCAGCTGTCTGCAAACCCTGAGAGCAACTGAGAGTCAACTCACCCACTTACAGTCCCAATGTTTTATTTAGCCTCAGCCAAGGAGCAGCTCCGCAGTCCACTGGCTCTCTGGGGCCAGCGAGGGCCAGAGCAGTTATGTGTCCAAACAACCCCATCATCAACTTGGAATAAGGAACAGCAAAGACCCACGCCTTTCTAAACCCAGGACTGATATGACACTACACTACTGTATAACGCAGGAAGAGATGAGGAAGAAGAGTTCATTAGTTTTCTAGTGTCAATTAAGCATTGCATGTACTTTTTTACTTGATATATAAGGCAACCTTGGGCAAGACACTTAACCCCACGTTGCCCGAAGCTCCTGCTGAAAGACCAAGGCTGTGTCACCGCTAACGTAGCAGCCATCTTCCCATGGACCCACCACCTGCAGGAGGGACTGGTGCTATGAGCATTGGGTGGCAGCTCTCATTGCCACCCCCTCCCCCCCCCCCCCCCGACCCAGAAATGGACTAATAAAGGGGATGAAAATGAATGAATGAATGTAAGGCAACCTTGAGTGTATGGAAAGAAATAGAATAAATTAAATGTATTATAATTATTTCTCATCAATTTACATTGTTTATGTACATTTTGTTGAAATGCTTCGCAGACCAAAAATCTAAAATGTGCGATTGACCCCTCCATCCAAATATCTAATATTCAACCCCCTCAGATTAGGAATGAAAATTATTTAATCAAATAGTTGTGACTATTGGTCACAATAAAGTGAAAAGAAAGTAGTTGATGATCATGTGAAAAGATTAGAGAGGTATGTTTCTGCATTTGTTTGTTTTTCTAGCACTTGATAATGACTGCAGTGTTGACAGAGGTATCAGTTTCAGCTAAGTGCCATGTGATTGTTTTGAATGAAAAAGGTGTGTTGCGGCTCAAAAGGCTGGAGAACACCGGTAACACAACGCTAACACAACGCTAACACCGTGTGCCTCATGTAAACGTGGAATTAAGGGAGCCCCTTCAGGCCAGTCCCGCTCATAGAATCAAAGTTATTCACATACGGTTCTATGAGTATATGCAGGAGCCGTCACACGTACCTGGATGTGTCCCTGTGGTTGTGGGTGAGAGTCACAGAGGAGCAGTGAGGGTTCTGTGCCCCTCTGCTCTGTGTGACAGTATTATAGTACACTGTGGCAGAGATTACAGCTCACATTAAGCCCCACATTGTCTGTTACTCGGCTGCTTTATTACCCCCTATTTACACCAAGGCTTCAAGGTCAATTTCCAAACTTCTATTTGTCCCGGGTCCAGTGGACTACGAACATCTGCCATGTAATAGAAATGTATAGAGGGGTGTATGGTGTGTGGTCATTAAAAATGAATTCTGATATATGTTCTTCACAGAAAATGAGCCAAAGCCAGTGAGTCATTTTTCTTTTAATAAAAAATGAAAAAGGGTCCCACAGACCCAAACACCACACGAGGGTTAAATTACCTTTTTACCTCGGAAAAGACAGGAGTGTGTCAAAACAAACACATTTTGACTATCAAAACAAGACTTAAAGAGTCTTAAAACAAGATTTGCCAATGGGACAAGCCTTTAGTCTTACTTCAAGAACAGTTGCTTAGTTTTTTAAACAACAGTTCTACACTTTTAAAGCAAGATAATTTTGCTTGTGCCATTGGCAAATATTGTTTTAAGGCAATCAAAATGTGCTCAAAGGAAGACGTTTTTTTTGCAACATTTGAGCACATATCGAACTTATTTTTAATAACTTTTTACAGTGTACAAACTGTGTCCCTGATGTCAACCAGTCCATGCAAAGGCCCTAATGATAAAGACCTATTGTATAAAACTGGTTTAACACTTGTCAGGTTTATGCAGACTGAATGCCGCCTGGGAACTGAGCTTGATTTTGTTTTCCTGACAACAGTGTGAAAAATGCTTGAAGCCTTGAACCTGCAGTAGAAGAGGCACTTCTTTTAAAGACGGTACATTTTCCGATAGTCACTTTGTTGTTGATGTGTTTGGCTCCATTTATCATGATTTTCATCATAAATGCATGATCATTTTCATGCTGCTTTTAATAACGGGTACATTTATATAAGAATTCATTTGCAAGAAAAATAAATGTACCTCCGTTGTCTTGCTTCACTCGTGTCCTGGAATCACCCGCCGTTTTCAGAAGATGTCAACCTCTCGCCCGGGGTCTAATGGGGCTGTTGGACGTCACACTAATTGTAAACAAAACAAAAGGCCATCTGCTTAATTGTGTCTATTATAACGTCACGAGCACTTCTGCGACACAACTCTTTCCTTCTGAGCTGTTGATGTGACCTTAGCATGATAAACACAAATGAAACAGGTGTTAGCATCACATTAGCGTAGCATTAGCGTACCATAAAAAGCCGTTTCATTAAACAGAGCACAAACTCTGCCTCAAAGTCTTTCACAAAGTTTGAATTTAGTTAATAGGTGGTTGCAAATATAAACCAGAAAATATCCTGCACCAACCTGTAAATTGATGAATCATATATTTTGTTTCTTTTTCTCCAGCGCCATAAGCGCAAAGCATAGTCCCAGTTTCTAGATTTTATATTTTGCAAATAAAGACAGATATACGCCAGTCAAAACAGGTAAGGTGTGCATGTTAGAATGACTGTGTGTGTGTGTGTGTGTTTGTATGTGTAGCAGGTCTCAAAATGCATCCGCCAAAAACCAAGGTATTTCCATGGGCCAGGTGCACTAATTGAACATACAAAACACATGCAAATAAATGGACATCCAGCAAAGTCCTACTGTAAGATAAACTTTATTGATCTCACACAGGAGAAATTTACATGTCACATTTTCACATTTGGCATACAGTAGATAGAATCACTCAGATTTGTGCAAAAGACAGAAGTGTGCAAACATGTTAGAGGTAAAAAATATAGTCTGTTCAGGATATATTATGTACAATTAAAAAGTGGCAATTAAAGAAACAGTGGCAATAGTAGTGCAGGTTTTTTAGTCCTAGTGCATTGGTGACTTAAAGTTACTTATTGTACAGTCTGACAGCGGTGGGGATAAAGGCCCTGCGGTAGCGCTCCTTCTTGAACTGAGGATGCCTCAGTGCAATATACTATATTCTGTACTAAAGTGTTTCCAAAATGTGCTCTGGGCCCAACAACTGCACATAATGCGTTTGCACATCCTTGTCAAAAATAAAGGCCAAACAACAGCAAATCTTGGACTGTACTACTACCAACCAGGTAAATTTACAACACAAAAAATTGTTTTAAGAACAACAAAAAGTACTAAAATTTGGCAAAGATTTGGGTTTTTAACGAGACCAGAAAATGCACACTTTATATTCTGCACTCAAAAGAAGTATCTTCCTTGTCCCATTGGTAATCTAGCTTTTGAAAAAAATACTTGATTCAAGAATATTTGACCTACTTTTGCAGTGAACATGTGAGCAGAGGACTGAGGTCTGAGCAAGTCTTTCCGCTTTGACGTGTGCGGTGTTTAGTGTCCGTAACTAAATGATAAAATAAACCCAACTAGCTACATCCCGGGAAAAAAAGGCTAACAAACTGCTAAATTAAAGCAAACCACGCAGCATCTGAGGAAGCCACAAGCGGGACCATGAGGGACTGTGTGGCCTGTGCACGCTCAGCCCAGGCAGGTGGAGCGAGAGGCAGAGAGGGGAGGGAGCGCACAAGGACGGAGCATTTTATACTTCCATTCAGAGTTGCCAAATATACAAAACACAGATGACAAAAAAGTTACCAGAAATAAGTATTGTAACACCTGTAAAACTAATAACATAAAGCCCAAACATAATTATATCGACCAGTGTCTACAACCCATCAGGCTCTGGGAGCATTTGGGGGGATTTTCCTCGCCTGATTTTCTTTGTATTGTTGCTAATAAAACAGTCATTCTGTGAAGCTGATCCTGAGTGTCAAGCAGAATACTTTTTTCAGTACACGCTGGACGGCTGTCATGTGAATGTTAGTTATGGACTCATGAATGTTTCGGGGAAAAAAAACAATGAAAAGCAATAAACATTATTTTAGACTGTATTGCATTTTGGGGAATTCAATTATATTCAGTTTATTTTTGTATAGCCCTAAAGAAAGCAGTGTGAGAACCCCTTTTGATATTGCCTGAGTCCCCATTTGCATAATTCAATAGCAGCCCGACAATTTTAATGTTAGATTAAAGCCGCAAGCGGCAATGAAAGCCCTCACCACTCTCACGCTCACCCCCCAGCGCCAGTCCCAGAAACATCATACAGTGTACTTGCTGCAAAAAAGATAATTTGAGGATTCAGTGCACTCCTAGTGGTCAACCGTGGGACATGCACCCTCTGCGTAATGTGGTATTTTGCTTGTATGGATGTAAAGATTTGACCCTGCGACTTTGGTGCAGATTGGAAAATGTTTAGGTTCAAGGTCTCTGATCGGTCGCGCTCTAGACTTCATATGGAGTGTGTGTTTATGATACGCTTATCATAATTATGAAACTGTAAATAGAGCATAAAACAATCTCCAACCAATGAACCCTAACTCCAACCATGACCCTAACCCAAAAGTGTCTGACCCGAAATCTTACCCCAGCTGCGTGAGTCACAGTGCAGAATTTAAAGTAGTACTAGAATTTACCATACTGCTATCCAGAATATATAACTACAATATGTGTTTATAATATTTCGGGTGTTCATTTTGACATGTTCAGATGAATTATGTTAAAAAAACGGCTTTGAAGTCGCACTTTTCCACAAACGCTGGGGGGCGTCTAAATTGCAGCGATGACGTAGGAGAATGATCCTTCACAGCGAGTTAATAGATGATGTTTGGGGAAGAATCTGAGGTTTCTGTCATCTGCACAATATAACATAGTTATATATTCTTGATAGCAGTATGGTAAATTCTAGTACTACTTTAACCACTATCAGCAGGGACAGAACTCCAGCAGTTTCAGAATGTCCTTTATTCAGTAATGGATGAGCCACCGGTTGTCAGGTTGGGTATCGTGGTCAAGGTCATAAAACCAAAATTCACTGCAGGAAAAAGGTGATGAAATTCTAACTTTTTTGAAGGTTCCAAATGGAGTGGTAGAAGACTCTATGATAAAACCAAGGACTAGTACAAATCCAAAAATGAAAAGTAA